TCACCATCAGCCATGAAGAAAAGGAACTGAAAACGATTCCAGCCGCCAGTGCCAATGAGTGTGGCTGATCGTAGCCAGTTGTCACTCGCAAATTTGGGAGGAGCCCTCTTGAGAAACTTGCCGTTTTCCACGCCGTATAAGATTCCCCGTGGGTCGAAGAAGAGAAACTGAAAGACCGACCATCGACCTGACCCCACCAGTGTGGCGGATCTAATCCAGTTGTCACGACGGGAAGTTGGTGGGAACCTTTTGTACAACTTATTTCCATAAACGCCATACAGCACTCCCTTAGGATCAAAGAAGAGGAACTTGAAGGCGTTCCAACCACTTCCAATCTGGGTGGCTTTTTTGATCCAGTCTGCGGCCCAGGAGCCCTGACGAGGTGGCCCCTTGTAGAACTTGCCATTCCAAACACCATATAAGGTACCATCTGGGTGGAAGAACAGGAATTGGAAGTCATTCCAACCCGCTGTCCCTATTACTCTGGCTGATCCAAGCCAATTGTCTTTGGCATATTGGGGAGGAGTTCTCGCGTAGAGTTTACCATTTGTCACTCCAAACAGCAGATTCTTGCAAGCTGGGGAGCTGGAACAAAGGAGACAAGACGAAATGATTTAATCATTTTAATGCTGCATGTAGATGTGAAAATCTGCTGCTTCATTAAGGAAACACCCACTAATTCCCTAATTTGCTTGCCAACCCTCTCGGCTTAGTGCAATGTATACAGATTTTGATGGTATCCGTTGAAACACTGGAAGTATCATTAACAATATAGGGTTTTTAAGATGCCAAACTTGTTTAAACACTGTAGAGCTTGGTTTGTTTCATGTAAATAGTGTTTTGATAGTTTAATCATGTGGTATTGTACGCATCCAAAACCTTTTGAAACATCGGTTCGAATATAACCCAAGTATTGTTTGAAACGCAAAAAGATGACATTAAATAAGCATGGCCGGGTACGTGTAAAAAAAACTCGATAGCAAAAAGATATGAACTCGGAGATTCAAAAGTTTACCAAAATTNCGAAATGATTTAATCATTTTAATGCTGCATGTAGATGTGAAAATCTGCTGCTTCATTAAGGAAACACCCAGTAATTCCTTAATTTGCTTGCCAACCCTCTCGGCTTAGTGCAATGTATACAGATTTTGATAGTATCTGTTGAAACACTGGAAGTATCATTAACAATATAGGGTTTTTAAGATGCCAAACTTGTTTAAACACCGTAGAACTTGGTTTGTTTCATGTAAATAGTGTTTTGATAGTTTAGTCATGTGGTATTGTTCGCATCCAAAACCTTTTGAAACATCGGTTCGAATATAACCCAAGTATTGTTTGAAACGCAAAAGGATGACATTAAATAAGCATGGCCAGGTACGTGTAAAAAAAAACTTGATAGCAAAAAGATATGAACTCGGAGATTCAAAAGTTTACCAAAATTTTGACATCCTGTCTCGAAATTAAATTTGAAGAGTTGCTCCAAAATACTTGTTCTATTCTACCCTGTAGAATATTTTAATCCTATTTATTTGTATATTTGGTGGCATCTGGCGATATAATGGTGAAATCTGAAAGAAAACGTTCGATAATCATCCGGACCCTTTTAAGAAACGCATTTCCTATAACTTTCTTCAGTCCTTTAATTCTGATACCTACCAGCTAATGGCTCCAAAAACACTCAGCAAAAGGCACAGATGCAACTTGACGTCCATGATTAACCTAGGAAATAAATTTATACTTATTTAGTCGAATAAATTACCGGTTGTTGATAATTAAAACATGCATATGCACTATCTTTGTACTTTGTGATCTCTACATCGGGAGTTAATTCCAGGAGATTTATCGGAAATATTTTCTGACGACTCTATAACATTTTAATAATACTTTTGGGTCATATTGTTGAAACTCCAGAATCTTTGAAGTTCCTCTTGCAAACTATGCCGGATATTGTCGGATTATTTTAAGTGACTTGCTAGCAAAAATGCACTTTCTTTAAACTATTTAGACTAGTCAGATTTCGTAGCCATAATGCTGTAAAGAAATCCTAAACAAGATAGAAGATAAATTTGTACCCAAGTCACCTAGTCAGCATTAGAACAACTTGATTTACACAACAAAAGCGGTGAGGTCTGTATGAAAACAAGGTCACCTCCCGCCTCGCTGCCATTCAAAGGCCAGGTCACCGAGCAGACAACTCTAAAATGGTCTATTGGCAGTCAATAACTCAATATTGATATTTTTCATTCCCATTTCGCTTTGTCCACCTCGTTTACCTTGAATACATCAAGTTCCACAGTCTTGGTAACGGCAATTGTTTTCAAAGGAATTCCAAAGGTAGAAAAGGTGTGAAATTTCCATATATGTTCGTTTAGACGCGGTAAAAGGGGACTGATTTTATTTTTACTTTCTGCGTGATTCTTTGAAAATTCCTCGAGAATTGGAAGCGCTTGGTGTTATAATAGTCTATACTGACAAATATTCGCCAAATAAGCGAATCACTTTGTAGGAAAAGACATTTCGTCGCAAGAATGTAACTCTGTAATGTTTAATAACCATTTAAGAGCGTTTCATCAGTTTTGCAAATCACAAGGTGAGGCTCAACGACTTTGAGACTTAAATACTTCCTGCGTTTCCCGAAAAAGCGTGTCCTCAACGGC